ACAGGTTGGTTCAACAGGTTGCTTCAACAGGTTGCTTCAACAGGTTGACTCGACTGCACAGTGCAGTGTGAATGCAAACTCACCAGCTCAAATGTAACAAAAGGTCATGAATATTGGTCCCGAACCGAACCAAGTCTACCGGACTATCTAGTGTGAAAACGACCTTAGAAAACATCCCTTTGGTTTTGTCAGCATTTAGCACCAGTTTGAGATGGAACAAGTCTGACTGGATGATGTCAGATGCAGAATGTAGAAACTGGAAAACCCTGGCAACTGTGTTAGCTCGCCAATAAACAACAGTGTGACCTGAGAAGCCACTATCTGAGAGCTTGTGCCAGAAGATGTGACGATGTACAGGATCACAGGTTTGGACAGCTCTAAGAAAAGTGCAGCTCCTTAGTGTCCAAAGTTTCAACATCATCATTAAAAACGTTTAGTGAAGCAGTCGTTGTGCTGTGTTGTTTCCTGAAGCCAGATTGTAGAGAAGATAAAATATTAAGAGTCCAAATACTTCTTGACTTGAGTATTTATCAGTTTTTTCTAAAACCTGAGCTAAAACACAAAGTTTGGAGATTGGTGGATAAATGTTCAGTATAGTGGGGTCTCCTCCCTTCAACAATGGCAGCACAGCAGCTGTTTTCCAAACATCTGGGACAGTTGTATAGACAGATTATAAATGTATGTATGACAAGACTGATAACTGCAAGAACCCTGCAGATGTTGGATGCTGCAGATGTTGGATGCTGCACATGTTGGATGCTGTCTATCACGGTACACTAAGATTCATAACTGGCTGTAACTACCGTACCCACCACTGCACCCAGTATTCACTGGTTAACTGGTCACCATTAACTTCACACAGACTCTCCCACTGGTACATTTTCATCTTTAAATTACTTCCTGGTCTGCTGCCTTCATACATCTCCTCCTACATGTCTCTGTGTGAGTGCAGCTACAGCGTGCGCTCTCAGGACATCATTACCTGCAGTGTTCCCTCAGTGAGGACTGAAGATAAGATAAAAGGTTTTCAAGGGTTCAAGATTCTTTGTCATTTGCATCACATGTGGTACACGTAGTGGAACGAAGTTGTGTCCACAGGGTCCCAGTTACATCCAACAATAAAATGTATAAGAAAAACAGTAATAACATCTAAGATATGAACTAAGAAAAACATCAACTAAATATACACTAAGCACTCGTAACATAAAACATTGAACATCAGCACAAACATGAACATGAGTCTGTGAGCAGATGTGCACGCATGAACACATCAACACTGAAACAGATCAGCAGCAACATGAAACAGATCAGCAGCAACATGAAACTGATCAGCAGCAACATGAAACTGATCAGCAGCAACATGAAATGGATCAGCAGCAACATGAAACTGATCAGCAGCAACATGAAACTGATCAGCAGCAACATGAAACTGATCAGCAGCAACATGAAATGGATCAGCAGCAACATGAAACTGATCAGCAGCAACATGAAACTGATCAGCAACAACATGAAATGGATCAGCAGAAACATGAAACTGATCAGCAGCAACATGAAATGGATCAGCAGAAACATGAAACTGATCAGCAGAAACATGAAACTGATCAGGGCAACTGGGCAGCTGCCTCCATCACCCACAGAACGCTCGACCAGCTGGAGCTGCAGGTCCAGTAACGACCAACACCAGCATGTTCTCCACACACTTTAGCATTAGTTAGTGATTACTTACTAATTAGTTACTGAAGTGTTTATGAGTTATTTACTAATTATGTGCAGATATACAAGTGCAGTTATAAAAATGTGTCAAATATGAATAAAAGAGGCCAAAGCTCAGTGTCGTGTATCGATTTCATGGTCCTCCTGTCCGTCAACTCAACAAAGGAGTAAAGTTTATTCATAAAGTTTTGCTCTTATGAACAGGTTGATAAGTTGAATAACGTGGGCAGCTTTGCTCACGGCGGCCTTTTCTTTGGGGCTTCTGGTTTTGCTGCTTGTCAGAAGTTTGCAACATTTCTCAATGACTGTACTTTAAGAAATGGTCAAAGATACAAATATGGTTTCTGCATTGATTCTGTGGTTTTCATGATCCAGTAGTGACAAGAAAGTCCATCAGTTTGACTTTTCAGACGTAGCGCTCGTGATGGTCATGGGTGAAAATGTGCTGACAGCCATTAAACCCTTAAAAGGTGACAGTGAAAGGATGTTTTTGTGTTTTTAAACAACTTTGTTGTGGTCATAAAGGTGATTTATCAGCTGTAAAAGAAATGATTATGACACACAGATGACCAGAACCTGCTTTATTCTCATGTTTAGAATCAACATGTTACACATTTTTATAATAAAGTACAAGCACGTGAAAGTGACGCTCACACAGAGAACTGTGACATAATTCTGCTCAAACACAAGAAGTCAGGCAGAGTTCATCTCGTTTGACTGAAGAGCTGCAGGAAGCAGAGTTTACCGGAGAGAGACTCGAACAGGCTGCGCGCCCCAACGCTGAAACAACAAACACGTAATTCAGTTTAATTCAGGGTTCAGGTTTAGATACAAGAGTTCGGGGGGGGGGGGGGGGGGGGGGCCGGTTCAAAGGTGGTGTGACTGGGAGATAGATTCTGGGTGTGAGATGGTGCCGTGATATGTTTTTTACATTCAGTTTGCCTGTTT